CCTGAGGGCTTGTTTGTTTTCCCCATTTGCTTCCATTTTACTCCCTTTTCTTTTTTCTTTTTCTTTTTCTTTTTTCTTTTTTTTTTAAGCCCAGGGTGTTGTAGAGGGCAAGGACCAGACCCGCGGTGATTGCTGGTAGCGGCAGCCAATGGTTGTCCTGACAGGATAGGCCACCTAGCCTACCCATCCCCACGTTAACACTCCCAGTGCACCCCCTGCCCCTACTATCCTACCTCAGTGTGACCAGCAATCAGGACCATCACCCTACCAGTATCGAGGGTAACTCGGACCAGACAACAGTGACAAGCACCAAGGCCGGGCCAACCTCCCAGCCCTAATGGAAGCGGAAGTGGACGAACCTTGCGTACGGGAATTTCGGACGCCAGGCTCATGCAATCTTCTACAGGCCCAATTCAGAGAATCTACCCAGCAGGATTACTTCAGCAAGGCAGGCCAGCGCCGGCGGACATATCCTACTGTCATTCCCCTAGCTTACCCAAGGCTAGGCGGAACTCAGACTAGCCGGAGCGACTTATATCCCTACCCTACCCATGAGCTAAGCCATGCGTGAGTAGACCCCGTCACACACCTGATAGACCCCCCCCAGCCCAGTATTGTAGTTGTGTGTATGTGTGTGTGCCCAGAGGCTATGTATGTTTGTGTGAGCCCATAGGGCCATGCGTTCTGTGTCTCCCCGAAGGCTATATGTGCTCTGTGTAACTGTATAGCGAGATGTATGTGCCCGAAGGCCAGATAGGTGCAGTACTATGTCGAGGGAACTATGTGTTCGTTTGAAGAGATGCCAGGCCGAGCTAGACAAGAACCCCCCCCGAAGTCCCAAGTTAGACTCGAACCCGTGATCTATGACATGTGACCTGAAGACTATACCATTTGAGGGACAATCGCAAACGGCCCCTGCGTGTGATATGCAAGAATGGGGAGATCAACAGAACAACCACGAGCAACAGCCACACAACCCACACAGTATCAAGACCCGACATACAACACCATGGACAACCCCTTGGGTGATGCGCAGGCAGTGTCTGTATAAGCTTACCGTGCGTCAGCCCAAGAAGGTGTGTGGGGCTATGTTACCAGAGTCGCCCGGCCCAGGTCGCCCCCCGGCCGACCCAGGTGAACTTGCACAGGGGGTGACCCGCCCGGGGTACCCAGGCAAGTGCAATCAGACTCGACTTCTTCACTCTTGTCATGCATGCAAACAGCGAAACAGCAAACTGGCGACATGCGCCCACACAGTACTCAAGATATCGTAACCAGGTAGGAGTTCTCTTCAACTGGCTATGGCGACTGAGCGCCCACACAACTCACTGTTCGCACTCTGGATCACCCTGGATGTCCCACATGCAACACTCTACACGCAGCACACACACACACACACACGCTACCATGGCTATGGCAGCTATGGCTGCCACTATCCTATCGCTACACTACACTTCACTGCCCTCTTCGTCTTCGGGCGCACTGCAGACCTCCTCGCACAAGCTGCTGGGGCAGCGCTTCCGCATGGCATCCGCAGGAATGAATGAATGGCTGGGCGCAGCCTCTTGATTTATACTTCTGCGCTGCGTTGGTCTGCCTTGTATCCCTTGTCCCACGATGTGCTCACAGTCCCAGACGGTACTTGCTGAACAGGACCAGACTGACTGACTGGGACTGCTGACTGGGCTAGGTGGACTACCACCACTTGACCACTTGCCTCTCCTGAACACAGGCCAACTCCGAAAGGCCACTTCTAGAACTCTCGAACTTGGCCTTTCGGTGCTGTAGCAGCTACGACTTTGCCCTTTCAGGTAAGTAGCAGCTACGACCTTGACTCTTCAGGCATCCTACAGCTACGACTTCGGAACTGTCTAGACTCCTACTCTACAGGTCTACAGTTCGATTCCCTTCTAAGCTGTGACCTACGAAACCCTGCCTACCACTGGCGGTCCTACAGGTCGCGGGTTCAAGTCTACAGGTTGACATCCATACTGTACACAGGTAAGATGGGGAACTAGGGATCGAGCCCTAGGATCTGCATTCTCTACTGCGAACTGGTGAATACCGTTTCACAAGGCCAAAAAGGGGTCAATTTATTATTATTATTATTATTATTATTTTTTGGGCAGTGGGGCAATTTTGCACCTACTGAGATGCGCCCAAATCCCGCCTTGTCTTTGAGTTTGGTGATATCTCACCAAAGGGTGTCTATGGGGTATAAGCAGGGTTCAAAAGGGATCAAAGGGGCGTAAAGAGGTCTAATATAATTATTATTATTTTTGGACACCATAGCGGATTTGGACCATTTCTCGATTAATGTGCGTCATCCTTGTGCAGGGGCCATGCTAATCTTCTCAACATGGTTCCAATTTTAATGGATGTCCCAAAGGACCCATAGCGAATTCCATCCATTGGTCACCCTCAGGCAAAAGATGTTTGGATTGCAATTCTGCATGACATAGATTTTTTTCAGTTCTTTTTTTTTTTTTTTTTTTTTTTTAATTTACAATGACACTGCCGAGGTCTTGACTGGGACTTTGCCCGGACCTCACCCGACCGGACCACCCAGGCCAATCCGAGGCAACCCAGGCGTCCCAGCTGGTAACACAGGTTTGGGGGCTATAAACAGTCTCTAGAGGGGTTCAAAAGGGTATTATTTAGACTTTTTTTTGTCATTCATTTTTATCTTAAACCACCAGTACTTGGCCCGGCTATCGGCCGCGGCGCTTTCCTGTATACGCGCCGCGCCGTTCGGGGGTCGGCCAAGGGAAGGCCCGGTCGCTGCTTGAAGGCCGGGCCCCGCTTCTTCCGGTACGACACAGCCCCACGAGAAGAAAGAGAAGAAAAAAAAAAT